TCCAAGCGGGATAAGTAGGCATCACCTTATACGGAGAAACAGGCGTTTGCAGACGGTTAATCTCTACATGCATTCCAGCTCGCGCAGTGTCCATTCTTAGTATGTTGTGACACCTCTCCCGACACTGTGGCGCCAAGATTGCATTTCCCCCGCATCGCTATCGCTCTCTCTCGTGGCATCTGCAATCTGCCCGCTTACATTATATACATGCGCATACTTTGCGTCGCATCTCGTCCACGCGCGCTCCTCCTATCGCTATGTGTGTAATCTATAACCGGGGTCCCTGAAGGGCCAGCCGTCCTTGGAATAGTGGTGGTGGTGGTATGGACATTGGTGGTGCTGGGCCGGGTTTTCACCGAGGGGTTTTTTTTGTATCCACGGGTTCATATTCGCGCATCGAGGGCGTATGGCGTGCTGTCTGCTGCACTTGCGTTAGTTCGGGCCTGGGGAGCAAAGTGCGTGCATGAAGGAGTCGGGGCTCGGGTGAATTTGCACGTATATCCCGTGTATGCTAGCATGTGTCTGCATATCATCTGCTGCTTCAAGGAAAGGATTCGTTCGATTGTTTTGCTCGACGAGGAGATCATTGTTGAGCTGGTCGATTCGATTCTAGACAACGTTTAATGGTGTTTTTTTACGAATTGGTGACAAGAAGTTGATTGATTTGGATTAAGACGATGCTGCGCGGTCCATAAGAAGGTATAAATCCTTATAACTGCTCTCTAGTGTTACTTGTCTTTTTCGTTTGGTAAATGTATGGTGTGTGTAGATATGTGCATAGAGGTATTGTTGCTTTTATTGACGGTCTGCCTTATTAATTTTTCATTATTCGTTCTGTTTATTAGTGTTTGCGTGTTGGGTCGGTTGATGTTTGAGTGGCTGGGTGGGTCGTTGTGTGTATGTGTGAGTGTGTGAGTGCGCTGGATGAATAGATGGGTGCAATGATAGATAGCATGCGTGCTTGGATGGATGGTTGCATGCATGCATAGCATGCGTGCTAGCCCCTTCGCTGTGCCACCTGTGGCAGAGCGAAGGGCGATATCGTTCTAGAGCTAGCATGCGTGCATGCATGGTTGGATGGATGGATGGATGCATGCATGGATGGCTGGGTGGACGGACGGATGGATAAACAAATGAATGCAGAGCAGAATGTGCAGGTGAGTCTGCGAACGAGTGCAATCCTCAGCTGTGTTTTATTTTGATTGCCTGTACTAGCGCGACCCTCGATATATCGATCAGCGTTGCGTGAACAAACCGCACCCGCTCCTGCAGCCGTGTTGATGGGTGTGGTCACCTGCCGACGCGCCATTGGTTACGCAGCGTCGGCCAATGACAATCCCGACGCTGAACGCAGTTACCATGGCTATTATTCCAGATCTGCTAATCGATTGGCGATGTAGTGACGTGTGTGCGTGATATTGTAGACTTCTGCGGGCGTTACGGTGACGAAATGATCATTTTTCTTCATTGCAATTAACGTTTATTTCAGTAAAATGTCCTCGCGCGATTCGTATATCGAGCGCACACGTTGAATTTCTGTAGACTCGGTATAGCGGCTCGGCTCGCCGCATTGAGAGGTTAAAACATGGCGCTACACAAAGGACGCTGGTTGCCGTCTACGATAACGCCGGTCACCCAGAGTTCGAGCGTATCTAGGATGATGGCACAGAACCAGAGCATGATTTAAAGTGCTCTGACAGAACGCGGGATTGATTTAGTGGTTGACCGCAGCGCCGAATGCGTGTGCAGGGGGTTCGTTAGGTGCGCACACGGTGACACACACACAAAGACGTTATATTTAACTTCTACCAGTGGCCGGGCCCTGGTAGTAATGTCTAGGCACGTGTGTATAAATCGCACGGGTTTATTTGATTATACTTGTAAATATATGAAAGGCTGTCCGTACATGCGCGCGCGTGTTTCATTCGGGATCACCGCTTGCATATAATATATGTAACCGTATATATTTAACGGTAACATATATCTTACTGGTATCTTACTATGATAAATTGTACAGTGTTTTGGTGGCAATTGCTTGTACGTGGCCGGGTCGAGAGCAGAATAATATCGAGCAGTATATAGAGAGCGTGTGTGTGTTCATTTATAAACAGCTCTCAGATCAATAACACACAACTAAACCAGGAAACTAGCCAAAATACTCGGCTACGTCACCGTAACGAGTACAAATTAAAAAAATATTTCCACTTTTTCTATATCCTATATCCTTCTATATCTTTTTCCATATATATATATTATATAATATAATATAATATAAGTAATTCTGTTCACTTTTTATGGTTAAATTGCTGCATTATACTTCCTGTTTTACTATATTCTTCGATGTGAACTTACACTCGTGACTCATACATAGCCCATAGCAAGCATTTAATGCTGAGAACATAATATCAAATCGCCCAGGTTTTTTTGATTTTTAACTAGTTGAGAAACAATGTTATCAGGTAAGAATTTGACGATACGTTTAGTCCCGTTAGTTTTTACTTTTAATGTAAAAAAATGGGTACATAAAATTCGTGTTTTCCCCTATCATTTCATTATTAAACCGGTCCAAGTGACCGTGGTCGGGCTCATATTATTTCCTCGCACATCCTTGCGCCTTGGTTCCCATCCCATACAACGGAACCGCGTTCAGCAGAGCGTGAACTGCCCCGCTACCACTATATACACACGACCGCACGCATGGTATAATATACTCTGCGTGCAAGGACTTTGCCGTACGTGTCCTCGTTTACTTGCATCGATCGCCTGCCTGCCTGCCTGCCTGCATTGCCTACCTGCCTGCATTGCCTGCCTGCATTGCCTGCCTGCCTGCCTGCCCGTGGCCAATCTAGTGGCGGTTGCATTCATCGGCTTTATTCGCGTGTACGTACGGTACGTAGTGTCCGTAGTATGTGCGCCTTGGCTGGCTGCTGCTGCTGGCTGCTGCGGCGAGTAGCGAGGTAGAATGGCTAAAAATAGCTGCGAATCTCTTTGTCATGGCGCGGAAGAACCGTTGCTCTGCGTAACGCCGTGTTATAATGTACGCGGGAGGCTGACACGTGCAATATCTGCTGGCATCTCCACGTGGGGCTCTCTAGAGTTTGCTGTTTTGCAACGTGTAGTGTTATTCTGGTGAGCAGGTTTCGGGTCTTGCATCTCTTCAACGGTATACGCTGGGAAAGATGATAAATTTGCTTACCTTGGCTTACAATTAGTGTGGCGAATTTTAAACTTGGGTTTACAAAGGACGATTATGAGAACTTGGTACCTGGGTGCAACTCACGGGCACATGGTCTGCACATAACATCGGTTTTTACACGTAATTTGATCACCGATAAATCAAAATTCCAGATAATTCTGCACGGTTATATATCTATAGCTGGAAAAATTTCTTGATGTATATATGTCTATTGTGAATCGTATGATATCGGCCCGATATCGGATTCAGAGGTTAGCTAAAGGTTAGTGATCTCGTGACTCCTGTGAAATTGATTCAATGCCAAATTCTCTGTGTACATGTACGGAACTTTTACTGCCACTTGGTGCACATATAATTAGAATCATAGAATGAGATAAAAGTATACATCGATGTGTCATATAACACCACTCGCTATCAATTAATAATATTGACTCATACGCTAAAGGTACCATATGACACCCCGTATTCTGCGTTTGTGCTACTAGCAATACTACAAATTAGTAATAATATCAGTACTTGGCAACCCATCAAATAAGAACGTTCCTATCTCCACTGGTGGTTGTTAATTTATATATTAATAATTTATTATTATCAAAAGCTTTTGGTTCTTCCCGCGTGGTGTCGCGCCGAGCAACGTCAGGCGATGAAGGGTGATGACCCATAGGCAGACGTGTTGGGTTGTGCCTGGTTGTGCGCTGCGCACACACGGAATCAGTAGAGCGCTGGATACGCATTGGTAGTAGTTGTCCGGCGCTTAGCTGCTGCTGCTGCTACTGCCGCCGCCAGCTGTATTGCGCGATCTGCGAGCGAGTTTGAGATGATGCAATTCACGTAGCGTCGGTTACCGTGCACTCCTAGGCGTAGGAGAATTTGGTGAGCATTTTGTAGAATGGTTTTATCGTTTTATTTGCATCTATAACGTATGTACGGCGGTGTAAATATCGTAAAGTAGATGTCGTAGAACGTAGCGGCGTCAGCGGTCATTACGGCCGGTACATTACGCCGGTGTAGGACAATCGCCTGAATCGGTTATGTAAGTCGTAGCAAATGTACGGTATTGGAACATTTTATATTACGTATTCAATGCTCGTAAGTGCAATGCCACGCATATTGCTACTGTGCCGGTTTCTGAGGTTTTGAATTGCAAGCAAAGACCTACGAATATTTCACTCTGTACGATGACGTAAAACGTGACGTGGCACACAGGTGCTATTACCACATAAGTAGACTAACTTTATTTAGTAATGTCGAATATATTGAGTTTTGTTTATTTGCCATACGACTGGTGTAGAACTAGCTTCCCGTGTTCTGTTATACGGCTTTTGTAGTGCTATGACTTGCAGTGTCGTAGTCCGTGCCGTTAATCAAAGACTCGCTCTTAGCGCAAAACAAAATTTGCTGAGACTTTGTCGGCGACCTGCGTTGTTTCTCTTCGCACGCACGCGAGTAATATTTTGCTTTTCTGTCACAGGTTTGATGGGCCTCTAGTAGCGGGCATTCGAAAGCAAACATGGTTGGCGCGGCTGAGTACGGCGAGAGGGACTGCCCGGTGGCGATGGAGAGCAGATACGCAGCGGGTAAGGTGCCGCTGATCGAGCAGCAGTTTCGCACCAAGCGCCTCGGCTCAGACAGCTCGGACAACACGCAGCCCCTGCTGGCCGCTGTCCACTCGTCCGGCCCCGGCAGTCCCGCAATAACGCCGTTCTCGCGCGCCGAACTGAGAGAGCAGATCGCCGTTGACTGCCGCCTGGAGATGGCGCCTCCGTCCCCGTCGCGGACAGGGGGCGCCACCAATCCGGTCGCCGCCGTCCGCAAGCATCTTGCGCTTGAACATGACCAGCGTTGCCGCAAAGCGTCAGGAGAGGGCGCCGTGTGCACGCACACGCCGAGCGCAGAGCGCATTGTTGCCGACGATTGCGACGACGGCGGCGCGACGCTCGAGCTCATCGCCCACGCGATGGCGCCACGCGCACCGGGCCTCCATCGCAGCCCATCCCAGGAGAACATCTGGGCGCTGCTGTTCGCTGAACAGCGGGATGAGCGCGAGAACAACGTGGAGCTCGACGAGTCGACGACTACGTTCTTCGACGAGACGGACATGTCGATGTCGATCGAGCGCGAGGGCAGCTCTGTGTCGCTGAACAAGCACGTGATGAAGGTCGAGGTGGAGGTCGCCACCAAGCGACACTTCAGTGACTCGATCCTCGGCAAGAAGACGGCGATGTACCGGCCGAGCGTGCGCTTCTACATCGGCGACGGCGCCAACACGGAGGACGAGATCTCCGACGACTCGGAGGTGGGTCGCCGCGCCGACAAGGCGGAGGAGGTGGAGTATCCGCGATACGGTGCCAAGACGGGCCGCGTCGGCAGCATCTCATGTCCTCAGGGGCCAGGCATCATCATCAACCAGTCGCAGGTGCCCATCTGTAGGATCTGCCTGTTTCCGGGAGACGACCGCGAGGCGTTGATCACGCCGTGCCGGTGCTCGGGCACGATGAAGCACGTCCATTACACGTGCCTGATGGTGAGTGTGTGCAGGTGGGTGTGTGCATGTGTGTGCGTGTGTCTGTGTATGTCGGCAGGTGTGTGTGAGACTGTGAGTTATGGGAATGTGTGTTGCTGGATGCGTGCATCTGTGCGAGTGCGTGTGTGTGCGTGTTGCCACCGGTAACTTCGGGTCATGACAGTAGTTACTACTGTCATGACTCAAAGTTCATGACCGAAGTCATGAGTCCTTAGTACATGCGACCGTAGTTAGTAGTAGTTGCGTACGGTACTAATGGTAGAAGTGCTCTAGTTCACACGAATACACACGTACATGATAGTAACGGTAATGTCATTTCTTATTGGAACGCTTCCTGAACGGAGGCTTGGTCCACAGGCACTTGAAGCGTTTCAATAAAATATAATGCTAACTAAATACGAAATCTATTTACTTAGTACAAAATTCTTAATGTTTCTATACTATAGCCAGGCCTACTCTCTTTCACCTACGGCTACACCCCCGATAGTTCTCTATATTAGTGCAAGCGTGCAACAGTCGCGCCGCGAGAGCAATGGCAGCCGGTAATGCAGTGGTTGGAAACTATCGGCGGTGTAGCCGTAGGTGAAAGAGAGTAGGCCTGGCTATAGTATAGAAACATTAAGAATTTTGTACTAAGTAAATAGATTTCGTATTTAGTAACATTATATTTTATTGAAACGCTTCAAGTGCCTGTGGCTTGGTCGTTGTTCGGTAGAGGGAAATGGTACGGGATGCTTAGACGGGCCTTCTTGGAAAAGTACGGTGAACATTCGAGTCGTAATAATAGCACACAAAGCACGAACAGCACACAGAGAAGGCGAGGCGTATACCTTGTAACTAGCATTCGCTATATCCCGGCGTCGTGTAGGTAGGTGCGTGTTACAAGCGTTTCCCCCGTTCGTCATTACCTGCTCTTGCGAAACAGCTGACTGCCTGCCCAGCAACAGCTGAGCCGGTGCAACGCGGCTCTGCGATTGGCCGGGAGCAGAGCCACAGAGTGAGCTCAGCTGGCAGCAATGCGCGTAGGGGCAGCGGTACCTCCTACACGCTACGCTCTCTGTTCTCAGGGCTGCATGCATGGTCGGCCGGTCGATAGCGCCAATGCTGAATAACTAACTGGCCAGGAGGGCATACATGTACGATGTGCTGTGATGCGAGTGAATGTGCTGCGTGGTGGAGAATCGTCGGCCACGAGGCAGGTTGCGAGACCCAGTGCCTTGCTCGCTCGGTCGAAACTATGATCGTGCAGATTTCATGATGACTTCTGAATATAGTTGCTCAGTACAGCAGCAGGGAGGGGGAGAGGGAAGGGAAAGAAAGCAGAGAGAGAGAGAGAGAGTGAGATAACAGAACGAGGAATAAAAGAGCTCGTAAAGAGAGGGATATTGTAGAGCGATATCATAGTAGGTGGAAAGGAGAAGGAGAGAGAGGGAGATAAAGAGAGAGAGGGAGAGAGAAACTCTCGGCGGCAGTACCGGGTGCTGCCTCACAGCTCACAAGCCTCCTTTGTGATGGCTATTTCTGTTGATCACGTCATCTCTGATTATAATATAGTGTGATCTACATGTAGTTATGTATAGCCTGAAGAGATCTCTAAAAAACATAACTCACACTGTACATTCATTTAACACATTCTAAAATATGTTCACATTCATTTTTTAGTAATCTTTATTAAATGGTAGGAATTGCATAAGATTTCAGAAATATACATCATATATTGCTATAAAACTGTATACTAGTACTCAGTAGGCAGTGCTAATTATAGGTCTTAAGTTCGACTCAGTTTAGTGTCGATAACCGCTCTGATATTATTTTAAAATAGGAAACGGCAAAAAACTATAATCAGGTCAGCGCACGCAGGCGCAGCCGAATTGAACCTGGTGATGCTGCATCAGCCAATCGCATGCGAGCAATTTTGCTCCGTTGTTCAGTAGCGACAGATGCTGCTTATATCCATCCATGCCTGCATGGATGTAGTATTTCGTTCATAATTCCGCAGTGCTGTGCGACTTGCATAAATGGCGATAATCGTGTGCGGTTGCTGGGTGTATATATATATAATACATATATATAATAATATATCAAGTGTTACAGTTAATCATTTATCGCGAATGTATTAATTTCACGCCCCCCCCCCCACCATTATATACATGTGTGTCATCACATGCACTCGAGTTCCTAAAGCAATGTGTAAAAATCCTTAAATAGCAGCATGTAATTTCGTTGGAAAGACGAACACACACCAGCTTCTTCTGCACCTATGCAGTCAGACCTGTTTTAAAATCTATATTAACCCTTATTAGATCGAACACCTGTCTATAAATGACAATTTGCATATCCTTCAGTGGCAGTTATAGAGTGAAGGTACTTCCATTATTTCTCTGTGGAACATACCTGTTTATAAAAGACATCTTTGTCATTTCTCTCGAATGATCCTTATAGTTATATACAGGTTTGACTGTGTCTATGACAATACGTGAATAATTTCATCTCTACAAGCAGCTGTTACCTTTGTGACTGATTATACTTATAGCCTCGTTCACACGAGACCTCGTATTTATGAAATACCGAATCTGAGACAAATACGCGGCCGAGCGTTCACACGCTGATTCGCGGCTAAAGAAATACGGTATTTGCGAGCTGCGAGCTGCTTAGTAACAATCAAGCAAACAATGTGAAATAAACAATTGCAATGCGCACCAACTGTCGATAAAATACGTAGACGCGTCCGCGCTCGACAGTTTCACTCGCGTTACACTGGAACTGTCAAGCGCGGACCAGTCTATAAAATACACGGCTTCAGAAATCCGGTATTTAGCGTTCACACGAGGAAATGCGCGGTCCAAGAGATCCGGTATTTCTCAAGCACGGCAAATTATTCGGGGTCTTGGAAGCCGCGTATTTACATCAAATACCGGATCTGTTTAGATACCGTATTTCTTGGACCGCGCATTTTGCCTCGTGTGAACGCTAAATACCGGATTTCTTCCTACGTGTGAACGCGGCTTATATCTAGATATGATATATAAATTACCATGTCTCTTTCTGTATGGGTCATGTGCTTTCACGGTCATTTGTGGTCATATCATGGTCAGTTGTTATATCGCATTCATATGTGTCACGTGTACGGTGTATACATATAATACAGTGCTCGAAATAAGAAAAAAAATGTGGTTGTCCCGCGGAAAACACCGGCATCAAAATCGCGGTTGTCCGCAACAAATTTCTGATTGTCCAAAAAAAATTCCCAAATCTCCTATTTTCAATCACATAATAATATAATCGAGAAAACACCCAAAACAGTGGCGTAGCCAGGATTTTTTAACAAGGGGGGCCAAAACAGGCGAACTGCGCAAAATAGTGGATGACCTTAATATTCACTGGCTCCTCCGCCTCCCTCTCCACACCCTACGGCTCGCCCTACCTCTCAGCCTCTGCAATCTTTGTTTTCTGGCGCCATGCGAAAAGGCGGCATTTTTGCTCATTGTTCTCTGCTCCCAAAATATGTAATTGTTCAGTGCGGGGTCTAGGATTCCAAGGAGGGTGGGTGAAAAACAGGCGGCGGGGTATGGGGGTCCTCCCCCAGAAATTTTGGAAACTTGCTGGTTGCTGGGTTCCAAATCGAGTCGACTCTCATACATCAGAAACCTGACATATGATATATACCAGTGTTCGGAAATAGCAGCTGTCCATATTTTTTATATTGATTCACGATTTAATTCACGATTAAGATTTCTTGATGAGCTAGAAAACACTCGGATTTGAAGTATGAAACTGAACATTATTGTGCCAGGTAGCCTATACCAGTTGGTTGCATGGGATTGATTGTCAGTTCAGATGCAAAATATTGAAAGCAAAAGGTTATACACCATAGATTAATTGGGTACCACGCGTATATAAGATAGCTGAGTCGGTTTTGAGTTAGTGTTAGGGTTAGAGATAGGGTTTCTTGGTTGTCCACCGGACAATGTCTCAGACTGGTTAGGTTGTCCGGCGCAAATTCTAGTTGTCTCGGACAACCGGACAACGCTTATTTCGAGCACTGTAATATATATATATATATGTACATTTATAATTTCCTAAAGCAATAATGGCTTTGAAAATATAATTCCTTTACAGAAAATTGCAAACGTGTATGATTTTCTAAATGTGATTTATTGTTTCTCTTGCAGAAATGGTTACAGATTATTGCAAAGCGTTCAAAGAAGCAGCCGTCATGTGAGCTTTGCAACTATCCGTACCAAAGACACAAGAAGTTTCGGGTGAGTCTTACTGTCTATAAACAGAGCTGCTCTAACATACATCGCCGCATTTGTGCATGCATGCATGCGTGCATGTTTTTTCTCAGCATCGTGCTTCTCTTTAGACACTTAACTCTGCAACTAACACATTCTTGTGTCTCACACAAACACAAAAAAGATCTGCTTGTGAACAACCACATTTTTAACACGTTGAAAAACACCGACATGCATTTCTAAAAAAAAGTCATGAGGCTAGGCACACGTAAAGCCTAGTGCCTAGTGTAGGCTGGTTCTCTACTTAGAATAATGTAGCTGAGGGAAAGCCGCGTTGGCTGATAAATCTGTTAGGCCTTGGGTGCAGCAGTTAAAAGTGGTGAGCTAGTGATATAGTGCTCTACAGTGTGGTCGCTTATTATTATTACTTGCCAATGCTCAAAATCTCTTGGAAGGTCAGTTCTGTGTGGGGCCAGCCATGTCGATTGCGTGCTATATAATGCAATAGCCATGACACAGTAACACAGAGTCCCCTTTTAACAGTTTAAAGGTACTATCTCTCTCTGTCTGTGTTGATGTGTTGGTGCCTACTATGGGAACATGAAGCCAACGGGTTAGCTCTTACATGTGGTGGCGGTTTACATTGCAATCGCTAACCCTGGTCTCAACACGTACCCTAAGAAGTAGCCTAGTAGCTTGGCAGTGGCAACTGGGTCACCTGGGATTAACAGCTGAGAGGGAGAATTGCTGCTGATTGAGTCAGCAATTGGTTTGCAGCTGCTGCTGCTGCTGCAGTTATGGGCCCCCACAATTTGCCTAGCAACAGCACTGCTGCCTCATCTATGGTCGTCCCATTTTACTTCCTCTATCGATTGTCAAATGCGGGAGTGGGAGGGCAGGATTCAAACCCAGCTGATATTGATTGGCTCGCTGGTGTTTCCAGCTGGCTTTGCATGGGGAGATGTATTTTTGCGTAGAGTGCATCCCGGTTTCACTTGCACTCCTTTGCATCACAATGCCTCGCGGGAAATGTGGCAAACCGGGTCTTTAGATATTAGTGCAAATCTGTTTGCAGCAGTTTGCTGTCCGGATTCTTTCGGTTGAGTGAAATTGGCGACTACTGAGTGATTCTTATTCAATTTTCGCTTGCCTAGAAGTCGTGCGATCGGGTGTGTTATTACGCATGAAATCTCGGCGTGTGAAAAATCTAGGTTGAATTCTTTGTGTCTTGCAATTCCGTAATGTATTCTCACTATTCTGTATGACCTGGGCAGAAGCATCGGCGCTGTCTATATATATGTACGCCTATTGTAGCTTTCAATTCACTCTAAATTACACGTGGTGCGAGTGTGCTCTGTTTCGCACAGAGATAATGAGCTCCGGGCAACTGAAGCTGTGGGCAGGTGTATTTTAACATGGCATATAAATGTGCTGGCCTGGCTAGATCGGATGGATATTCCCTGTCTGGCAAGTGCCTTAAGACATCCCGCGTTGAAAATATTGAGTTTCTAACTAAACACGCATGACGCATGTTCTTCAGAAGTCGAGCGTTGGGAAGTAACCTTGAAAATCCTTCGTTCTCACTCTCACCCACGGTCCTTCCCTCCTTTTTCCCAGCCGCGCCATCTGTTGGCCACAGTTAAGCGTGTGGTTGGTTAGGTACGGCGACCCTGGTGGTAGACGCGCACAGGGAAAGGAATGCTCCTGTAAATCGGCACTAGCAGCAGTGTCAGAGCCAGCCAGAGTGCGCCCTGGTTACAAGTGCCTTACTTGAAGAATGATAATATATCTAGCACGAAGTTGCCTGCGTGATCATTGAAATGGAGTGGAAGTCGCGTTGGCTGGAGTCTATAGTCTGTAGCAGCGGTTATAGAAATTAGGATTACGATTAGAAACCAGGGTTGTGAGTTATTATTTATAATAATAATATGGTTGAGGTTAAAAGTCCATAACAGCAGTTATGGATTAGGAGTAGGAATCCGGGTTAGGTTTTTGGAGAGTTAGAAGGCTATGTACTAAGGTCGTAGTTGGCGTTCTCTTCGAGGTCCAGGCTCTACTCTGGCACGTTTCGCTGGGAAAAACACGACACTCGAGCTACGGTACATGCCGCAGCTTAGCTCTAGAACTATAGCCCTTCGCTCTGCCACAGGCCTGTGGCAGAGCGAAGGGCTATAGTTCTAGAGCTAGCTGCAGCGATGATGCGTTGTTGTTGACTGCCACGGTTGCATCAATTCGATCATTCATACACACGCACCTGGTACCTCGCTACTGTGCGCGTGTGCGTGCGTGCGTGCGTGCGTGTGCTCCATCGTGATTCATGGTAACGGTGCGTGCATGGCTAATATCGCAGCCAATCAGCGGACTGGTCCGCGCGCGCGGGAACCTGCGTACACAGGCATCCCGGTCGCCGTACTTCGCTCACGCAATTAGTTAATGGGCGAGCGTTTGCTGTCGTGATGCGAGAGTGAGATGGATTAGCTATTTAGCGTGTTAGCGTCTTTTCCGCCCACGCTCCCCCCCCCCGCTCCGCATCCGTGTTGCCTGGCCTGCAATACGGTTTTCCGTAACCTGTTGTGCGTGCTTATTTGTGTTGGAAAAGTGTCTTTCCTTTCCTGCGTCGAGTCTTCCATTTGCGGCACAAAGACGGCGAGAGAATCGCTTGCCGCCGGGCGTAGATGTCTGATAATGGCAGCGAAGAGTTAGAAACAGGAATGAGCAGTTAAATACATGACTACACTCAAAGAGATTTATTTATATGGACGCACATTTGGCGTTTAAAAAAAATACGCGAACCCGAATATGGTCGTATCACGTGATCGGGCGGCAGTCAGGCGATCTGCTGGCTGCGTTCTATCTGAGAGAACACGTGAACGGCGGTCGCCCCTAGGGGCGTTTCTCGGCAGTTGTTTTGGCTGCTATTGTTGATGTGCGGGTGATCCGCAGTTCAAGGGCAAAATAGGGGACGAGAGAGAGAGAGAGAGAGGCAGTGATCATGCTCACTAGCCGATAGTTGTAAACATCCGGGTCAGCTCCACTCTGGCGACCGTGCTATTATGGCTAGTGGTCCTGTTCCCGTCGGTGCCGGGTAGGGAAGCTTGTGTTTAGCCACGGTTCGGTCACTCTCAGGAATACGCGTCGTCGCGGAACATTTTTCCGCTTTCCTGTTCTTTACGTGCGTCTTTACGTGCCCTCGAACCCGTTTCCATGGTGCCAATAGTTGCCGGCCACCTGCCCGCAGCGGTCGGCTAGCGCGCGTTTCGACATTGCAGATAAGCACGGCGACACTTCGCATCAGTGTTAGAACACACGTACGTCCGCGATCCGACAGCGACGAAATCCACCATAAATTGCCCTCGTTTCTTCTCCGGGGAAGATGCGCTCGTTGCCTTGGCGATCGCGAGCGATTTCTCGCGCTGACGTACGCTGCGGCCCCGTCCGGCTCGAAGTTTCCGCGGCCGGGGAGGGGCGAGGGGTATGCATTTTGGCTGGGGTGGAAATTCCAATTTGTTTCCTCGCGAGGTCTTACTTTGGCGTCATGCCTTGGACGGCGGGCATCCAAGGTTCGTCACAGTTTTTTGTCGTTGTTTTTTTCCTATTTGCCTCGAGGGGAGAGTTGGTTCATTTGGCAGCTAGATGGCCTTCGAAACTGGTAACGATGACACACGTGTGAATATATGTGTGTATGTAAGTAATAGGAAGCAGTGACAATAGCGGCTCTGCGTGCCAGCCTGCTAGTACATTAATAACCCGCGGTGACTTCTCGGTGAACCCCCGGTGCTGGCGTTCGTGAGGCTAACACGTAACAAGTCCCCTGTACTCGAATTCACCTCTCTTAGCTGCATCCTAAAGCAAGGGTTTTGCAATGAATACTATGTTGACGATTATGTTGTTGCGTCGAGAGTGGTTCGCGCGCGCAATGACGCAATGTCGTCGTCACGCGGAGACGGATTAGCTTTGTAGATGAGCGCTTAGCGCAAAGGTTATGATACGTGACGATAGCGGTGTTCGTAGCTGCTGCTGCTGCTGCTGCTGCTGCTCCTGCTTCTGCTGCTAGTGCTACTCCTGCTTCTGCTGTTACTGCCGCTGCTGCTGCTGCTGCTGCTGCTGCTGCTGCTGCTGCTGCTGCTACTACTACTGCTGCTGCTACTACGGCGGCTGCTGCTGCTGCTGCTGCTGCTGCTGCTACTACTACTGCTGCTGCTATTACTGCTGCTGCTGCTACTACTACTGCTAGTACTATTGCTGCTGCTGCTGCTGCTGCTACTACTGCTACTACTGCTATTGCTGCTGCTGCTACTGCTACTACTACTACTACTATTACTATTGCTGCTGCTGCTGCTGCTGCTACTACTACTACTACTATTGCTGCTGCTGCTACTGCTACTATTACTATTGCTGCTGCTGCTGCTGCTTTGTGCGTGACCTTCTCATTTAACCTTCTCATGATCAAGTAATTTCCATCACGCAACTGTAAAGCGGCTTGTTGTCCGAAGCCCATCGCGGAAAGGATTTTGATTAATTGCAACACAGTTGTCATATACTCGTCTTCGTGGATTGGAATATGCGTGCTCGTCAAGCCTGAGTCGGGTAGATTTCTGAATGCGATTGCAGTGGCTAATATTAGCCGAGTAGCGATAAAGTGAAATATATTTGTGTCACCGCGTCTGCAGGTCGGGGTAACTCGCTAGAGGCAGGATATACTCGAATCAGTACAGGCCGAGATTACTGGCTACTTGTCAGGATTCTAGTTCCGCCGCAGAATAGACAGTACATGACATAGGTCACATAAAGGTTGACAAATCACCGTGGCCATGCATCATGTGACCATCCTTTGGCTTGTCAACGCGAGAGGATAATCTGAATTTCACGAATATAGTATTTGTCTCTATAAATGATATATATGAGAAATAGTGATTGTTACGCAAAAGAAGTTAATGGCACGTTTTTCTTACACTTAAAGCTGCACAATGCGCATCCAAACGCTAATTTCTCCAGTACTAGACTAGCAAATACTTCGTGTCATGCATAATCACACTACCTTATGACAAAATAAACTCTAGTTCCTCCCATTTCACTGCGCGTTGTCTTATAAAAGGTATTTGAAAAATACCTCCGATGTTGTTGACAGTTTTGCGTTGCTCTCCCAAGCAACCGTGCAGCACCGCGGCACGGGTGTAGCAAAGATAAAAACATGTGACGTCACCTAACCACTTCGAGGCTAAATTGTTTGGCAAACAAGTCGGCGTTGACGCCAGAATGCCAGTTTTCTCACCTCTTTCTTGTGGGTTTTAAGCAAACGCGCAGTGAAATGGGAGGAACTAGAGTTTATTTTGTCATAAGGTAGTGTGATTATGCATGCCACGAAGTATTTGCTAGTCTAGTACTGGAGAAATTAGCATTTGGATGCGCATTGTGCGGCTTTAAATTCCGCTATATAACATTAGTGGGAAATAGCAAGCACGTACTTGCATCTGCAGTCAAGCCTGTGTTAGCTGACAGCTCTATACAAAGTGCCCCTGTCTGTAAAGGACACCTTCCCTGAGTGCCAGGCAGTTATACAGTGTAATATACGCCTCTTTCGGCATGAGCCCGATATTCATGCAAGTTTGACAAAAGATGCTTACTTGTAGTAAGTACGAGCTTACTTTTCCCTGTGCATGTTATATACAGTGGAATTTTCGTGAAAGAAATACATGTCACTATTTTTCAAGTGTTACAATCACGTGCGATACATTACCTAATTAAAGTGGGTAAATTTCGTTGTGCGGTAAAGTACTCGTAATGTAATGTAACGCCACGTGTACATGACTGCTGCAACACATTCTTTGGAAAGGAATAGAAAAATATAAGCAATAGCTTCTTCTCTGTTGCCTAGGTTTCTGTAGTCTCTCTAATGCATGATACCTCTAGTTTGCCTTGAGTGACCTGTATAGATTTAACTCTTTATATTGATTAGATATATAGTTTGTATGGATATGGATAGATATCATATAGATGTTTGTATAGATATATATTAGGTGTTTACGTAATTAAAAGTTCATTGTAATACACTCCTTGCATTAGAGTCCATTTTATAAGTTAAACAACATTTTTGTAATCAAAACTGATAAAGTAAGCTCGCTGTGATGCGTTCCTCGCATTTAAGTCCCTCTTGAAAGGTTTAACGTTACTATTTTTCGTACTTAAAATGTCGCAAAGCGAGCTCGCGTGCTCGCTGTAAATGTTGATCGGTGTGTGAGACGTCGTTGCTTCGTCCATTGCAGACCAACCAGTGGCAGTTCCCGTCGGTGTCGCGGCGCGACAAGATCCTGCACGGCATCTTCATCTTCTGCATCGTGATCATGATCGGCTGCGCGACGTCCTTCATCCTCTGCTTCAAGAAGGACGGCGGCCAGCGGTCCAGCGACGACCTGCAGCTGACGCGCGAGGAGGTGCTGACGCTCGCGTGCGGCGTGCTGTTCTTCGGCGCGTTCTTCACGGCGATGTACGTTCAGGTGAAGGCCAAGAACACCGTCTACAAGCTCATCGTGAAGTTCTTTGGCATCAACCACACGTGGACCGTCTACGAGTACGATAAGACCAAGGACGCCGCAGGCGGAGGCGGCAAGGTGCAGCCGGCGTCGCGCAAGGACGCGAAGGAACTGCCGCCGCGCGAGAAGGGCCCGGTGAACGTCTGACGAACATTCTCCTTCCTCGCCGGCTAATCTTCCCCCCCGCTTTCTCTCCCGCGGCGCGCGAGAGGGGAGGCGGATTGCCGAATTTGTACGGGCGAAACGTCAGCTGGTACTAGAATAAGCATTACTGTGATCACGGCATGGCCGCGCGTTGGAGGGTAGGGGGAGCTGCACCGGCTCGATGCAGCTTGCGGTTTTGCGCGATGCAGGGATCTCACTAGGGGGCGCCTCCACCTGCCGCAGCGGCCCGGCCGTCCCGGAAGGAGGGCGTCGCCGGTGCGATTCCCCGCATGCGTGGCAAGAAGGTGCATTTGGGTTCTGTTCCGGGGTTACAGTTGGAGTTTTTTTTAATGCCGTGCATTAGCTGAGTGACCTCGTGTGTTCTTCGGGAGTTGGGCTTGCTCAGAGGCCGACGACACGGCGCCTCCCGTGCCGCCTCCTTGGTGTGGAAGTCGAAGACGTACCTCATTTGTAATCGGTGCCCGTCTCGCTGCGACGTGCGTTGGCGTCGCAGTTCGTTCCACGTTTAAATTATTTTTTTTCTGTGTTGAAGCGAAATTGAAGTCTCGGCTAGTCGATGCCGGTGTTCAAAAGTGGCGATGGGCGATGGAGGTTGTTTTGGGTTTAACGAAACGCGTCGAAAATGCAGTTGGGTGCTGCTTTTTCCGAGTATGTGCAGCTCAAAGTCACGCACGCACGCACGCATGCATGCACACATAAACGCACGTACGCACACACATACGCATCAAGACACTGTAAATCCTTACAATCCATTTGCCAAAGAACCGGGGGCAGCAATTTTAGCTGTCTGCAGTAAACGAGTCATATTGTAACACAATCATCAGTTTGAACTGACCGGTGCAGGGCGGCTGACTGCTGCTGTTCGCTTGACTATGTATATAAAAATTAAATTCACACGTGTATATGTGTATATATATATATATATATATATACATTTATATATAATAGAAAGGCAGCCCCTTGGATGTGTAAGCTTTTTTTGTTGCGCCGCACCCTGTATGATGATGTGTTTTCTTCGTTCAACCCTGTTTTATCCTTCAACTGTGAAGGTGGGGTGGGGGGGGAGATGCTTCCTCCCCCGCGCGACATTGTGCCGAATCTCATTGTTGCCCCGCGTGTAGGAGACAGCCGGGGCTTAGAGTTGACAAGAGTTAGCGGGAGAGATGCGGATGGATGGCCGCGTACTCGGAGAGTGAAACGCGCGCGCTCGAGGTTAGAGACTTAGACGTAATGTGTCGCGCGCATCAGTTGTCGCTCCGTCGCGTCGCATGGCGAAGAAAGAAATAAGGGGGGGGAGGGTAAAATTAACGTGTCGTTACCGGTGGGGACGTTAGTGGGGAAGAGGGGCGCGGGGGACGTGTTGGACGTTTATGCTGGATTCGATTCAGCTTCGCTGTGCATTTGCATTTTCTAGCGGTATATGTAGGTGATATAGACATGTGAATTATAATGACTCATCTAATTCATTGTTTTCGCATTGGCATTTTGAACCCGTGTGACGACAAAGGATGGGTCTTGGAGTGGGTGATATAATCCGGCTGGGTGTGCGCTACGCCGCGTGCGAAATACTTAACTATACAGTATGTAGGTGAGTGAGCGAGTAAAAATGCAGAAAACGCAAAAAAACATGATCTCATCGCAGCCTATGGCAATTGTTGATCGGCCAGTTTTGTGCGTGCGGAATACGTCTGTGAGCGGGTGGGTGCATGTGCATGCGTGCGAGTCTTTGGGCGGGCGACTGTACGTGGGTGTGGTCGTGTGCGTGTGCGTGTGCGTGTGCGTGTGCGTGTGCGTGTGCGTGTGCGTGTGCGTGTGGGCCTTGCGGCGGCGGTGTGGGTGGGGGGGGGGCGTGTGTGTGTGTGCTTTCCTGCGGGCGGGTGGGGTGTGTGTGCGTGTGCGAGAGTGCCTAGAGGAAAACCGCTTTGTAATTGTAGCCTATAGCTAACTCAACACACGCTATAGCCGCCCGGACAGTCTCCCATCTGCCGAACAAGAAAAAAACGTAAAAATGGCTCCCATTCTACGTCGGAACCGCTATACTAATTATAACCGAAGCCCGCGATATTTCGTTTCATCTGCGTTCATACATAGACACACATTACAAGCTGCTGCCGCTGCCGCTGCTGCTCCACGAACAAGCACTCGATGCAGCAGACGACTTTCGCTGACCTTGCCGAAATGTCGGGTACGCTCTTACTCTACATGCGGGGTGTGCTGTTTGAGGAATTATTTGGGCCAAAGATTGCGGCGACTGACATGATAGTGTGGCCAGGGCGTGAGTTTACACAGGGGGCTCACGGTGATCGAACATCTAATCCGCTGTCTAGGTCACCCCAGGATCAAATCCTCGGCGTGTGCACGCACTCTCTCCGTGTACCTGTATGATATTCGTGTATATGATGTGTGTATGTGCGCGCGGAGCGAGTGCGTTTGCATGCGACACGACTTGATACAGGCGGTCTAAGGTGTGGGTCACCTTAGACAGCGGTGGACTAGTATTAAGCTAGTATCGCTCCGAAAAAACGGTATCAATATGGGCCTGTATAGCGTTGGGAGTGCGTAGATGGGGTGGAGGGAGGGGGAGGGGGAGGGTGAGGGTACTCTGATAGGCTCGCTCCAACATGTGTGCTGTCCGGGTCCGTGGATCACGTGTGTGATTCATATTTCAAGGTGCCACGCGGCGCGCGCGCGTGCGTGAGTGTGCGTGCGTGCATCGGCCGTCCGCCCTGCTACAGGGGCTGTCGTATTTGTTGATCACATAGATTCAGGGTTGTCGCGGTGACGCGAATTGTTAATAAGTAGTGTACAGATTTTTTCCTTTCTCGCTCTCTATATATATGTGACTGGATGACGGACGATTCGTGCTTAGACTCGTGAATAAGCGAGTGCGTGTGTACAGCGATGTTCTCCTAACGTTTGATTGCAATACGAGATCTATTGACCTCACAGGGGGGGTCGATTCGCGTAGAACTGTGGCTACGCCTGTGTAAGGGATGTCGCTAGGTCTGAACATGAGACTGGCTTCCCGTATAAGGATATAATTCCCGGGAAATCCTGAGCGTGGTGCACAGAGTAGATATAGGGGGTTAGGTGCTCGCGTGGAAGAGCGCGTTGATTGTGTAAAGATTTCGTGATGAGCGCATGGTAATTACGTGCGTCCGTGTTTTATAGAACGAAAGGTGACGACGGCGCGATGCCGACGTCGTCGGCGTCGTCCTTGTACAAAGTTTTATTGTCTTGTAAAAAGTCCCGAATATTAAAACAATAAAATATTTTTAAAGTTTTAAAAAAACAAGTCGCTGTTCGTTCGTGTGTTTTGTTTTCGAGTGACGTATTTGATTGACATCATGTGAAGGCTATTCGGAAGAAACTTTTTACTCCACTCCACTTACACGCCGGGTGGTTGGGAACGTGATTGCTGCGAGCTGTCATGCTGTCACGGTGATATTCATTCATACTTCTCTCTCTGCTACGCGCGCACACATCCACCCGCGCACGAAGAATCGCGAAATCCAATTGACTGACGTTTCCTCTTTCTGCGGAGACCGCCTACGTACGACAGAGTTGAAATTTCTGTTAGCCGAGTAAATCTCGCGTGGAATTACGGCGTCTCTCCAGCGGCGATGTATTGCGCACCCGGCAGTTAGATGCGATATGATATGACTACTAGGCACTTAGGATATGACTACTAGGCACTTAGGATATGACTACTAGGCACTTAAAAAAAAAACCTAACCCTAACCTAACCTAAACCCTAAACCTAAACTAAACCCTAACCCTAACCCTAAAAAATTAAATTAAAGTGCCTAGTAGTCATATCTTATCGCATCTTTCTGTCCTTTGCATGTATTGCGGTGCGGGTTTGCGCATGCGCAGCGCCGACATCAGTGATCATGTACACCCTAGAGTCCCTTTATATTGAGGGACTCTAGTACTTATATTGAGGGACTCTAATATAAAGGGACTCTTGTACACCCGCCAGCATGATCATCGTCTGCAGCGCCGCAGAACGGTGTAAAACTAACGCGCAGTGAGTTTTAAAAAAAATCACCCGACCCGCACGCGGTTGTTCGCTCACGCGTTGTTGTTGTTGTTGTTCGTGATACCATATATCACCGAGCTTTCGCAACCAGTATCCCCATGTTTTCTTCGCCGCCTGAATATATATCTAATGGCGACTAGCAGAGGCAGCGGCAGCGGCAGTAGCAGCAACAGTAGCAGCAGCAGCAGCAGTAGCAGCAACAGGAGCAGTAGCAGCAGCAGCAGCAGCAGCAGCAGCAGCAGTAGCAGTGGCAGTGGCAGCGGCAGCAGCAGCGGCGGCAGCGGCAGCAGCGGTAGCAGCAACAGCAACAGTAGCAGCAACAGGAGCAGCAGCGGCAGCAGTAGCAGCAACAGGAGCAGCAGCGGCAGTAGCAGCAGCAGCAGCAGTAGCAGCGGCAGTAGCAGAAGTAGCAGCAGCAGTAATAGCAGCAGTAGCAGCAGTGGTAGTATATTGAAACGGTGACATCGCGTCTAGAGGAATCCAGTAATCCGCCCTGCTATGAATTACCATATTGTACGCCTTTGTTTGCTCGTGAGATATTAAACCGCCTCGCCAAGCCTACGAACGCGTCCAGAGAGAACGCAATAGCGATTTCAACAATAGAAAAAGTTTTCGTAGCTGTTCTAATGAAGGCGGAAGTTTTCTACTCGTCCATCTGCGCACGCGCACGTCACACCAGAATGGAATATCGAGCAAGAGTTTATGCAAACTATAACTACTTTGCTCGATGCTCTGTGCGGTTATGCAAAGAAACAACTTGTGCTCGAATATAGCTGACTCATGCACTGAATTGCGCCTGGCTGCGAATGACTGCTGTTAATTAGATAATGTTCTCTTGATAATATCGCCAGCGCGCATTAACTGTATATAGTTATCATAGGTTAGGTTGTATACATGAATAGTTTATGTGCTTCGACATGGCAAACCTAAGAGCCACCGCGCTGCCAATTATTTGTCTTCTTGACTCCATCGTGGCCATTCTAGGGCCTTTTGTTAAATTCCTGACGATACAGCTTTCGCTTCTGTCATTTTCTCACTTAATTGCACATCGTGAAGCATAGGACCTTCGTATAACAAACGATACAGCTTTCGTTCCTGTAACGGGGTAATTCTTTCACTCGTCGCACATCGTGCAGCGTATGGGGGTCTCCATATAATCAAGAGCTAATAATATTATTAATAGTATTATTAATAGTATTATTAGCTCTTGATATAATTGTGTTGCTTTGGTTGTTTCCGCAGCACGGCCTCTGACCACTGAGCTCTATTAATGAAATCTGTGCCTTTGTGCCTCTGAGCTCAGTGCCTCTGACCAGCTAAGTTACTCGCTGTTACTGCATCGATTCAAGATGGCTCGACAGCGCCACTCCGCCCCCAATCGTCTCCTAATAAGAATATGTCGTCATAAATTGCGATTCCATATATAATTCTTCTTCACAATTCCTAATAATACCCCATGTTTGCTGCTAAGTCTCTCGATTTCGTGCGGTGGTGGCTGGGTGCATACCCTCATGGCATGCGGAGTTGGGGGAACGTATTCCTTCAGGGGAGATGTAGCCTATATACCATCAAGAGCGTATTAAGAAGACCTTCTTAATACGCTCTTGATACTATCAAGAGCCAATAATACCAGGTAATAATACAGAGGTATTATTAGCTCTTGACATTCTGCAGCCGGATATCCGCGCGAAGCGCGCCAACGCCGCTAGCGGCGCTCTAACACAACGTTGCTGCCCCCTCCTTCACCTTACACGGTTTACATATATAACGCAAGCATCAACTTCGCTGAATTGAGGAGTTCTGGCCATTCGACGATCGGTTTGACTAACCAGGGAGCTCGACATTTCTTAGAAATGCTTCCAATTCGAAGTTCGTTATTCGGCGCGCTTTCTTTGCCGTAATAAACGAATTTCTAGTTTCTTCTTTGTTTGTTGTTGTTGATGAGGGTAATACATATGTCTTGCGATAGACGGCGCAACGAACGCCGAATCTAGAGGCATATTAGACTGGTACCCGTTTGCCACCTTTACTCCGGCATATCGCTACACTCACGTAGTGTAGCGTCTGGAACCTGTCGAACTGTCGACTCTATTACACCAGTCTATATG